GGGCCCCGGAGCTCCGGGCGGCCTTCGGATGGGGTGCCCAGGCTGCTGTCTGAGGGGGCGCGGTTCATGGGCTGGCTGAAGTCTTCGAATTCCACATCACCCGGGCGGGAAAAGCCGGACTTGTGCAGCTCCACGAGGACCTGGGAGTCCTGGTGGAAGGGACAGCAGGTGACAGTCAGGGGGGTCCTCTGGGGGCCACGCCTCAGCCCACGGGACCCACACCCAGCACCCACATTCTTGGCATCCACGGCATCCGCAGCCACCTTCATGCCCTCCAAGCACTTGGCGATGATGGGTACCACCTGCAGCTCAGCCTCCGACAGGAGCCCATACCCAGTCCCTAAGCGGGTGGCCCGGCGTTCATCCATGTCCTGAAGTTTCTGCACGGGCAGAGACAGGAGGAGCTCAGGGGGATGCGCACCCCAATGCCCATCTGGTGTGGGAAGACACAAGAGCAAAGAACAGAGACTCCAGATTGAGCACGGCTCACTGTTACCATAGCTTTCTCGTTCTCTTTCAGTACAGGAATCGGGACACGGTAGCGAGAGTTTTGAGGTATGTATAGGAGTTGGTTGACTTTTAGTGTTTTGTAAGAAGCTTGGCCTGGGAGTTTGGGGCACTCACATCAAATATTTGGGGCATCTGTGAAAAATAGAAGTGGGCCTGGTCTCGGTTGAAGCGCTGCAGCTGGGATGCATACTCATTCTTGCTCTCTTCTGCCATGTGACTCCGGAGATGGGCTTGCTGCTTGGCCTGAGGAAGTCAAGGGGCAGGTGATGGCGGGTGCGGGCGGCGTCCCATTCTGATCTCTCAAACCTGCCCCAGCCCCGACGCGCACCTTCTCCACGTCAGCCTTGGTGGCATTGATATCCTGGTCCAGCCGCTCGGCAGTCTGGGCGGCCTTCTCCACCTCCCTGCAGTCCCGCTCAAATTTACGCTTACTCTGCAGGGGAGACGGGACCACAGGGAAGCAACTGCTGTCCCCAAAGTAGGGGAGCCGGGAAATGGAGGCGGACTGGGACTGGGGGGGAGGTTACCCAGGAAGCGGAGCACAGGGGACCATGGGGAGCCCCTCTGCTAACTCACACTCTCCAGCTGTTTGAAGCCGTTCTCCAGCTGCTGCTGGGCCCGCCGCCCTTCCTGGAAGTGCTGCGGGGAGACAGGGAGGCAGCTCACCGGGGGCTCCTCCGGCAGGGGCTCCCCACAAGCCCCAGCGGGGACTCCTCACCATCTTCCTCTCCTGCTTCATCTCCTGCGAATACTTGGCCAGCTCGAGACACACTCGCACGCTGAGGTTTTCGGCCACCAGCTCCCTCTGGCCAGCGAAATCGTTCACCTCCTGCAGGAGCTGCACGAAGGACCGCTGCTGGCTGAACCTGGGCGGGGGGGAGTGGGGGAAGGGGTCAGCCCCCCACCCGGGAGGACGTCCCGAACACCCAGCTGAACGCCCAGCCCCGCAGGGGAAGCGGAAGCAAGGACGCCCCAAGCCAGGATGAATTCCGGTCCCCGTCCTTTACCCCTCAACCCTTGCGTTGGGATGCATTTCAGACCTTAGAATTATTTGGGGCCTCAGTAAGGAGATGCAAGTCTTATATCATGTATGCCTCACCCCAGTGCGGCTGGGAGCAGCATCTGGGATCCCGTTTTACGGCAAGATGCGTTAGTTCCACAGAGGAACTTATCTAGAATTCCCCAAGGATACTGAAAGTTTCAATTGCTCAAGTTCCTTTTTAAAAAGGCTTAGCTGGGTGTGGTGGCACACACCTGCCTGTCATCCCAGCGCTATGGATGCCTGAGGCAGAAGGGTCACAGTTCAAGCCCAGCCTCGGGCAATTTAGCAATAACCTGTCTCAAAAAGAATTTTTTTTTTTTTAAATAAAAAGGCATAGTGGGCTGGGGATTTAGTACAGTCATACCGGCACCTGCCTGGCAAGTGCAAGGTCCTGAGTTCCATCCTTGGTACCAAAGGGAGGGGAAAAAAAAAGGCATACTATTTGCATAGAACCTGTGCACTCCTCCCCTAGACTTTATACTATCTGTGGTTGACTTACAATACCTGATACAATCTAAATGCCAGGTACACAGTGGTCACGTTGTTTCGCTTAAGGAATCATGACAAGAAGAAATAAGTTTGTACAGGTTCAGTAGAGGCACAGTTATTTTAGTGGGATATTTTTGATCTTTGGATAGGAAGGGACAACTGTATTCACACTGACTGAGATAAAAGACTATAATTAACACCAAGTCAATCTGCCTGGAGGTTGCTATCTAACAAGTGAACAGGGCTGGGGATTTAGCTCAGTGGTTCTACCACCTGCCTCGGTAGGGCAAAGTCCAGACTTGGTTCCCCCATACCAAAAAAGCAAGTGAACAAAACAAAGAAGAAAGAGAGCAACTTTTTTACTTCTAGAGGTTTTTGGAGGGTGGGATAAAGCAAAATGCTCTAACAATTTCTGTGGGTGGGGCAACTGCTTGAACACATAAACTCAGTTTATCTTTGTGCGAGACAAAGGCTAGGTACCACGCTGTTGGCCCCAATTCACAGAGAAAGAAAAGAGAGGCACAAAATAAGCTACTTGCCCCAAACTTCTCATTTTGCAACTATTGGCGCATCCCTGTTTAACAGATGAGGAAAACAGGCAGAGAACCTGAGTCAGGAGGATCACAAATTCAAGCCCAGCCTGGGCAAATCAGTGAAACACTTAGCCAGACCCTGTCTCAAAACGAGAAAAATTAAAAGGGCTGCTGAATACAGCTCAGTCAGTGCAAAGGCCTTGGATTTCATCTTCGCATTGGAACAACACCCCCCTCAAAAAAAACTTGAGGAGGGAAACTGAGTCCCGTGCCCCAAAACTACTTGGCTACAAAGGAGTGGATTCAGGGTTCCAATCGGGTCGTCTGGATCTTGCACCCAGGTTCTTGTCTCGACAGAGGCGCGAGGTGGGGTGGCCAGCAGGGGGAGAGGGAGACAGACCCAAGTCTAGCCCTTGAGCCCCCTCCCTCTTACTTGGATTCGGGGTCATCTTTGGTAGGTCTCTTGGGCAGGTATTTTTTCACCAGGCTCCTGAAGGGAGGCAGAGGCAGAAGGCTGAGCCCGCGGAGCTCCAGCTGCGCCCCCTGACCCCAGGCCGCGTCCACCCCGGGGTCTCACCGCAGCTGCTTCGCGTAGGCCTGTTCGACCTCCGTGCGCTCTCTCACGAACTTCACGTATCTGTCCAACAGGTCTAGCCCCCACTGCGTATGGCGCTCCAGCACCTCAAACTGATCCTGATTGGGGCACAGGGTGGGGCGGGCCCGGTCACAACCTTCCTCGGGACCCCTGGCCCACCGACCCAGGCCCCGGGAGCCTCCCTCCAGGAGCGCGGAGCAGGCGTTTCGACCTCCGTGCGCTCTCTCACGAACTTCACGTATCTGTCCAACAGGTCTAGCCCCCACTGCGTATGGCGCTCCAGCACCTCAAACTGATCCTGATTGGGGCACAGGGTGGGGCGGGCCCGGTCACAACCTTCCTCGGGACCCCTGGCCCACCGACCCAGGCCCCGGGAGCCTCCCTCCAGGAGCGCGGAGCAGGCGTCAGGCGAGGCAGGGCCCGGGTCTGCGGACGGCCAAGAGGGGTGTGGAAAGGAGCAAGGCCACTCCTCCTGCCCCAGCTCCCCTAATCCCCCCAGATTCCGGAAAATCCGGCCGGCGGGGCGTGAGTCAGGGCCAGAGGCGCAGGGATGGGGGAAACGTAAGGGGGGGCTCAGAATGGTCAGGGCAGGCACCGAGTTCCCGATTTCCCAGGCTTGTCGATGTGTGACTCAGTTTCCCCGAATGGCTCCACTCCATCTCCCAGAGTTGGAGGGGCGAAGGCGATCCGGGGGGCTCTGCGGCACCCAGGAAACCAGGGATTCCACCGCCCCCACAGGGGAGAAGTAGGAGGTCCAGCTAGGATAGGGGGAAAGTTCTGGGGTTTCCTGGGTGAGAGGCCAGCAGGGCAGCCCCGCCCTTGCTTGGGGCTAGCGGGGAGGCGGAGGTGGGGGGGCTGGGGGCCCCCCCACCCCAGAGCTCGCCTAGGTATAGTCCCAGGAGACTGGAAGGCGGTCCGGACTGGTTGGCCCCACGTGGGGGACGGGGGTGGCCAGAGGGCCCCCTCCCCCTCCGCGCCGGACAGGCGGGGGGCGGGCAGGGACCCAGGGGCGGTAAAATAAGCCTGGCTCGGCCGGGGTGCTCAAAATAGGTGACCTCGCCCGGCTGCCCCGGCCTGGTCCCAGGGCTTCTGGCTGCCTTCCCGTCCAGGCCGTGCCTCAGTTTCCCCGCGCCCGCCCCGCAAGGTCTCTCTTGGCTCGAGACTCTGGGGAAAAGCCCTAGCGAAGGCAGAGGGCAGAGGGCGGGGACCCAGGGGTCAACGCAGAGAAAAACGTGGAGCCCCCGCTAAAGTACAGCAGGGACAAAGCCGGTGAAGTTTGGATCCTAGCAAGCGAGAAGTTGCGGCCGGGCCGCCGATCGGACTCACCCACAACTCGGTGCCCCAATCCATGCTGCTCCCGCCCCGAGGCCGCCGCGGAG